GGGGTGGGTGGGGAACAGAGGCACACAGCCCAGCAGGTTGGAGGCACAGGTAGGAACTGACAAGCCAGATCTCTTGACTCCCAGTTCAGTGCCCTTGGCCCTGAATGAGGCTGGTGAGGGAAAGTGAGAAGCTGGAGAGCCCAGGATAGTTCCCTGTTCCCTACTAGTTCCATTGGTCTCAAAGGCGCACTATCATTCAAACAGGAGCTCAGGCAGGGATGGGAGGGTGGGTTCAGACCCACAAATAAATACAGCCTGCATAGGGATCAGTAAAAATACTGGGCAGTCACCTTTTGCCCATGTGCTAGATGAGATAATTAGCCACTTCAGTTCCCCCAAACCTGATTGGTTGTTCCCCGCAGCTTGTCTGGCCACTCATCACAGAGCTGCAGCCAGCTGTTGAGAGGGGTGGCCAAACTCCTCCGTCTCCGCTTTCCCCCATGTACTTTGTGGGAGGTTCCATGGTTCGCCTCTCCTTTCCCCCCACCTTTGGTTTATTTATTGCACGAATGTAAGTTATTGTCACGTCCTCTTTGCCATTCCGCCTCTCGGCACAGCCAGGATGTTGGTACAGAGCCGTACATTATATTTTATATATGCAAATCACATTTTATCTTATATAGAGCAAAAAAAAGGTATTTATTTTCTGATGTACAGTAAGTGATCTACCTGACTCTTCTGTATTTTGTAACTTTACAAATAAAGCAATTATTTTCCACAGAGTGAGCGTGGTGGGTTTAATAAGCTGTAAAAGAGAGCTCTGAATCAGTATTGCCAGTGCTTGTGGTGCTCTCAGTTGGCTGTTTTTCTCAAAACCCCACTTGATGGCATGAAGAACTTGCATGGAAAATATCATTTTCATTAAAAAAGTAAGTTACTAACCCTCCTGGTCAGTCAGAAAAGGTTCAGCACACAAACCAGTTGTACCTGAAGCCTTCAGAAGCTGGGAAGTAAATAAAAAGAATGAGTCGGTCAGAAAAGGTTCAGCACATGAACCAGCTGTACCCGAAGCCTTCAGAAGCTGGGAAGTAAATAAAAAGAATGAGTTGTTCTGTGAAATCATGATTTGGGGGTGTGATGGATAGGAGTAGTACTGGCCAGCTCCCAGTGATTAAAGGGTTAAACTCAGGTAGCTAGCAGGGAGCCAGAAGAACCAATGGGATACAGTGCTGAAATCTGAATTGTATAAGTTATCCTGCCTGCTTTCTTTGTGTGGGAAAGTTAAGCCCGGAGTTGAGAGAGACAGAATGATTTAAATCCAGGCAGGACTACAATGCCTCCAAGGAATTTGGGGCATGGAAGTGGACAGAACCAGGAAGTGATCATGAGTAAATAAAGGGAAAATGTTTATTTAGTTACCATCAGAGCATTTTTCTTTGTTTTCGTTATTTGGTTAAACTTCTCTGTGTGAATCTATGCCTTCCCTCTCCCATTCACTAAGAGAATATTAACGATGTTCTCTTTGTTTTACTCAGTTGATCTGTAACACCTAGCAACTTAGTATGCATTATCAAGTATATCTTTTTGTTTTGTTAATAAAATCATCTTTTTTAAGGTGATGATTTGATTTCTTGTGTCCTGGAAGGTAACAGGAGGGCGGTGTGTGTCTTGCCTAACCTTGGAGAGATACAGTTTGTTTTTCTGTGCTTTTTGTTTCTTTTTTCAAGCTCTCTTGTGGCAGAGGAGCTTGGGTACCCTCCTGGATTCAAGAAGAAAGGGGTTTGTTTCACTTGGTGGTAGCAGCAATCCCCCAAAGTCAATAAATCTGTGACTTGGGGGAGTTTTCGTAAGCAGAGCCTATAGAGGCAAGGTATGTAAGCTTTCTTGCAGGCCCCCATCTTCTGTGCTCGGAGTCCCAGAGTGGGGACCAGCTCTGACAGAGGATCTGAGGCCTTGTGAGATACGAGTGACTCTGGCTCCTAGTGGCAGGGAGTCAGAGTGGCAGGCCTGAGGGTGGATTACACTTTTATACACAGGGCAGATCCAACATGAGAGGCAGCAACACAAACACACAGTGCCAAGAGACAATGCCTCAGCCTTGGGGTTAACACTTGAGACAGGCCTGATGAATTTGCCAGTTTCCACAAACTCTTTCCTTTTTTTAAACACAGGTCTAAAGAGTTGCATTATCATCACAACACACTGGGATAACCAATGTTCAAAGTTTGGGTCCAGCTAAAGATGCTGCAGTGTTCCTACTTCCACAGGGAAAACAGCTCAAAAAGGGTAAAAATACAGCAAATGTCTGCCCACCAATAGGGTTGCCAGATGGTTTCAACAAAAATACCGGACACACTTGACATTACATCACAATCTACCTTACATCTTATTTAGAAAATACCAGACATTTATATTGTCTCATTTTCTCAATTTGTTTCCAGAACAGAATGCTCAAATACTGGACTGTCCGGTTCTAAACTGGACACTTGGCAACCCTACCCACCAAAGGGCTCCATGCAAGGGGCTGCCTGACTGGGCGGGGTTGATTAAGCAGCTGAGAGTCTGCACTGCTGTGCAATTTAAAGGGAATCTTGCTGCTTACCAACATGCAAGCCGCCTGTGTGTGCAAGAGGGGTTGAGTCGTGGGAGTGAGGAGCTGCATGATGGAATCACTCTCTCTAGATATTGCCAGTGGCTATTGAAACACGTGTGCCCATGTAGTTTTGTTGGGGACTGGGCAGGCTTGGGTTTTTTGTATTGGAGAGGTGGTAATCTGACTCAGCCTTGCCCATTCAGTCCCCTTGCCTGCCTAGTGATAGAAATGTTGGCAGTGAAAGAGGCAACGAGTGCCCGGTGACTACCAGGGTTCTCATCCTGCTGGGAATAGGCTGGAGTCTGCTTGATGATAAGTGGCCAGGCCTCCCCAAAATGCAGTCTGGTGGTAAGAGCTTTCAGCAACTAGTGATATGGGGTCAGAAGGTAGAAGGAGCCTGATACCAAGATACTTGGCAGGCTTGTATAGAGTCACAGGGGCTGCAGGGAGAGACACATTGTGGGTCCATTCTGCTGCCTACATAGGAGCCTTTCAGCCAGGAGACCACACTGCCTCATTAAGCTGAGATCCTTCCCACTGGGGAAACTACAAGCTAGGAGGCCCCAGTGGAAGGAATGCAGGCTGCAGCAGGGGAAGCAGGTGCAGGATGGAACTCCAGGAATGCTACCTAGAGGTCAGCCACTGCTGTTCCACCAGCTCCACATTCCACAGCGCTGCCATCACCACAGAAAAACAAGGATCCTCTTAACCTATATGGAAAAACATGTGATGACTTCTGCTCTCCAGAGCCCAGGTGGGAGGGATTATTTACAGCACTTTGTAATGTGCACAGGTATGTTCCCAGCCTCTAGCAATGTTGCAGCCACACATCCGTTCTGCAACTGACATCCCCCGTCAGTGCGTCCCATTGCAGCAGCCTCTAGTGCACTGTCCCTAGAATTCATGTTCTCAGCCTCCACCAGCACAGCCATGGGTGACAGGTGAAGGTAAGGCTGGAGGAGGCAAGCCCCCCCCCACCACCACAGGGAGAGCAGCTGAGCAGGCTGGCACATGCTTGCCCCAGCCCCAGGGAGGGAGAAGGGTGCACCATGCAGCCCAACCTCTCCAGCCCTGGAGCATCAGGGGGAAGGATGAGGGTGCACCGCGCAGCCCCAGACTGGAGTACCAGGAGGGTGGGCACTGGGGGCAGGTGGAATGTGGGTGGGGCCATGCCTGGCTCTTTGCCTTCCCCCAGCTAGGCTACCAGCACACCAGTGTTCCTCCTCTGCTATGGCCCTGGCCCCATGCCCAGGGAAAAGAAAGTGTAGGCTCACTACTTGATGAGACCTCCTTTATTTGGGGAGGCAGCCTTATGACTTAGAAATGAAGCCCTTGCAACACAGCTACCACATTTCTCACCACTTTTATACTGGCCGGAAGTACATGGCAAAAATATATTAGTAAGCCTAGAATCAGCGTGGGCTGTTCTTTTAAAATAAACTCAGTTACCCTACTGTAATTCTTTGCATTTATATTATTTCCCACAAACAGATAAATCTCAAAGCACTTACCATTATCATCCCAGTGTATGAACAGAGAAATGGAGGCACAGCGAGATTAAAGTTTATAGCAGTGTAGAACTGGAAGGGATCTCAAGAGGTCATCTAGTCCAGCCCTCTGCACTCATGGCAAAACTAGAAGTATTATCTAGACCAAGGGAGGGCAATATATAGTCCACAGGCCAAATCTGGCTCACCAAACATTCGGATTTGGCCCATCACAGTAATCTAGGCTGCCAATGTCCTGCAGCCCAGCAAGATCCTCGGACAGGCTCCCCCACCCCAGCACAATCCTTGCAGCTCCTATTGGCTGGAAACCAGCCAATGAGAGCTACCTGGTGCCTGCTTGTGGACACATTCAGCAAACACAGATTTCCCCCAAAGGGTGTGCTGTACAGAGATGAATACGCTGGCCCCAACAGGTGGCCCCATTGAGCAGCATGTGGGGCACAGCAGTAGGGAGCCTGGAGGTCTTACTGGGCTCCTGGCTAGGATCAGCTTAGAGGCCAGAGCCTGCACCTGGCAGCCCCCTCCCTTCCACACCCCAACTTTGTGCCCCTGGTCACAATTCCCTCTCAGACCCTGCACCCCCTCCCACATCTCTCCCCCAGGTCAGAATCCTCTCCTGCATTCAAATTGCCTCCCAGACTCTGTGCCC